AGTACAACTCCTCCTTCGTCAGCGACACCAATGCCACTCGCTGCGAGCAGAATAAAAGTAGCCCGGCTTATATCAAGCAGAAGGTAAGGGGGGGGAAACAATACAATTGTAAATAAACTTGCAGCTGTTAGCTGCTATCTCAGTGTAACTTCCTTTTATATAACCTTACTTAACCTTGTATATATAGAAAAGCAGTAGTTTTGTAAACTTACGTCACTTGGCTGTCTCGTTGCTCTTGTGTTGCGCTGTCGGTAGTTGTAGTGCTGTAAAGACAAGTAATTGTCTCCAGGAAGATCCTGAGGTGAATTCATATTTTAACAGGAGTTGAAAATTACCTGAGAGGATTGGGCCCGAATTTGCATTGGCCATATATTACAATGGGTGCCACTGAAGGCTCCTCGTTCCAGTAGCGTTTGTGCCTGTGTTTGCGTGAGCCATCGGTTGTCTCTGTGACTTCTCGTGTTCTTTGTGACTGTGTAAAGTTTAGCACACGTCCTGTAATTTTCAGGAATAGGATCTCATTTAGAATGCATTTATTTCAGAGGAATTAAAAGTATGAAGAATAGGGGAGATAGAAATAAATAAAAAAAGTAATTTTAAAATGTGAAAAAAGTTAACTGATCTTTGCACAATCAAATGTGATTGATGATTTACCATTCAGAGTGCAAGTTTGCCTTCTTGAAATACAAAGATGTCAAGATGGCAACATCCCATGGAAAGTTTTATTTTTAGCACTTTTTTTACAGTTCAGCATGCTGGATAGCGAGTTGTTGATTGGAGAAGTCTCTTCTATTGCACTTCCAGTGCAGTTTTAGTACTACACTTAAGCAGAGCTAATTGTGAACAGCCAGCAGAAGAGGTGATCATACTCCGTTTTCCTTTCCCCTCTCCCCCCGTTGCTGCTCCCCGTGTGTTGTATCTTGCATTTCCACAGTTACAGGTTATGGTTTGGATTTGATCGGAGCACTGATTCAACAGAAAGCTCATCTCTTTTTTTGAGTTTGTTGCTTTTTGAATGTTGATTTGTTGGTTGTTATTTTTTCTGAAGCAGTGTGCTGCTCTGACACACTCTGTAGCCACATGATTGCTGTATCTCATACGGGGGTGGCAGAGAGAACACGTTTCCAGAAGAAGTGCAACAGAGCCATCCTTGGCAGCAACCACTGGCAGTTAGGTTCGATTAGGTGGAACATGTGAAACCACGGTAGTCAGAAAAGTAGATGGCTGTAAATTACACAGAAGATGGAGTTATGGGAACAGTCAGCTGGCGTTCCTTTAGGCTGCTGAAAAGGTGGCACTTGAAAATTTTTGCTCAGATTTGAATATCTGATGTGCTGCATCAGATATTCAAGACTGGACACGTGAGCTTACCTACTTGATTTGTCTTCTATAAATGAATTTTTTTTTATGGTACATGCTTCCATTGAAGATGATCAAAGAAATAATTCAGGATTTTTAACATGGAGTAGGTTCTAACTCATGACAGAAGCAGTAGAAAGAATGTGAAAGTTAAAAAGGTCAATAGAACTGTAGTCCAGCATGCCTCCAGGGCTGACCCATCAGTCGAGGAAGGTAATGTATGCCACCCATTGGAATTAATTTGAAGATAATAAATTTTGTCCAAGTAATGCTTGTATGTTACTCCCCCAAAGTGTTTTCTTTAGTATTAGCTTCCTGCTTGATGCTGCACTGTGAGCATTTTGTCATACGGTGTCATGTGTCAACGGAAGGAGCAGCTATTAGAAAACCGCACGTGGTGCATACAGTTCTAGTCCCATCAAGAAACCTGTATTTCAAAAACGTTTCTGTACTTTGCATTTGCTGGAAACCCCCAGAATTCAACCTGATTTTCAAATTCTGATCACCTGTGGTTTGGGATACAAGACTTCATGTATCTTTTTGCAAAACACTGAAGCAGAGTGGGTAATTTCATCTGAAGTGTAGATAACATCTCTGATGGATGTGGTGGTGAATTCACACATTACAGGTTTTCTGGCATAAAGGATAGAAAGTGTAATTAACTTGATATTTGAGAGCATGAATCCTTCAAGACAGTAGTGGAATAATGGCCAACAGAACCTCTTTGTTTCCCTTTGCCAAATTTCCATTCCTTCCTTTTCAATGATTGCCAGCAGGGCATGAGCTTTTGAACAATCACGCTCTTGTCTGGATGTCTTGCCTGCATTTCTGATACTACACTTGTTACCACAATATAAGAATGTAAAACCCTCAAAACACCCATAAATTTCAGTGGAGGCTCTTCTCTGTGCTGGGCAATAATTCTGTGTATGGCGAAAACAGTAGGTCCAGTAATGCAGTTCCAAGCCCTTTGCCGAGGAGATGTGAAGTGTTCTGGATTTTACAAGACCACCCTAACTGTCTTAGGTTTACAGATGCTGTAAATTTTGATGTCATGAGAGTTCCCAACAGGCCCTGTTTGGCATTAACTTTTAGAACGCCTCTCTTAATAATTAATGTGGTGTAAGTCCTTCTGTTCTCAGAACAGAGAAGCTTTTTACTAATCTTTCCTATTTCAAAGCAAACTGTAAGAGGAAATTGAAGACAAAAATCACTTGGAGCCTGCAATAAAGTAGAATATAGTTCAAAATGGATAGTCCTTGCAGGACTTAGATTAATTCTTTCTTACAATTTGAAGAAAATTAGTTATTTTATAATAAAACTAGTTCAAAGGTAATTTGGATACAAGCTGAAGCATTCCAGTTGCTGGCTTGGATGATCCTTCTTTGTGCTCAGAAAGAGCTGTTTTATTAATCATTAAAAATTATTTATCATCCAGTCTTATTTATTACTCAGTCCATGCATTTTCCTTTGCTATTCAGTAATATTTTTTAATTTTATGAGCCTGTCGTGTCCTGTACATTGTTCAGCCTCAGGACTACACTTCTCTATTAATTATATCCTTATATAAGTGAATTGTTTCTTCATTTTCACAGAATCACAGAATCACAGAACGTTAGGGATTGGAAGGGACCTCAAAAGATCATCTAGTCCAATCCCCCTGCCGGAGCAGGAACACCTAGATGAGGTTGCACAGGAAGGCGTCCAGGCGGGTTTTGAATGTCTCCAGAGAAGGAGACTCCACAACCTCTCTGGGCAGCCTGTTCCAGTGCTCTGTCACCCTCACTGAGAAGAAGTTTCTTCTCAAATTTAAGTGGAACCTCCTGTGTTCCAGCTTGTGCCCATTACTTTCATTCTTTTTATTTTGAAATCTGTGATTTTCAGAACTATTCTATCCACCATAAGCATTTTTTCAGAGTAGAGTGAATTTGCAGATTGAAAAACTAGACCTTTCTCTTCAAATGTATGTAGTTCCATTGATTTTAATGGAGTTACATGATTTTAAATCACCTGCGGGTTTGACCTATCATTTTCTGTATTCCTTTCCATTAACTTCATAAAATCATGAATTGGGCAGCTGAGTGCTTTACATAGTAAATTGAGTTTTTCTGTATTTTAGTCTTTTAGTCTTCTTGTCAGTAGACATCAAGTCTTTTATGTCAGCAAGGATATGGTCATTTGCAGTATCTGTATGTGTAGCTGTATTCTTTGTGTAGCACCCCTACTTCCAAAACAATGAAACCCAAGTCTTTGTTGTTATATTCCTCCAGTTTAACACTTTATTAGGGTTTGGCAGTAGTATTTGTATGGTATGGTTAATGTGGGTTGAGATGATACGTAATAACAGGTAGTTTTATTTCTAATGTATTAGCACTACTTTGAAGCTCATGTCTTTGAACCTGATGATCCTAGTAAAGAAGCAATGCCTGCAACTACATAGAGTTCTCTTTGTCAGCAGGGGAGGAGTTAAAGATCAGAATATAATTTTCTGTCTTGGTTTGTTCAGTCTTCGTGGTTTTGACCCTTTCAGGGTGTCACAGAATCACACCAAAATGGCTACACACACACAAATAATGAACTCAAGCAAGCTTTTAATCTGCAACTGAAATTAAGCAGACAAAACTTCATTCACCAAAACAACATCCCACTGACATTCAACAAACACAGGTTCGATATGCTGGTTGGGAATATTACCAGACACGGCTGAGTTAAGAATTCTTAAGTTTTGGCCAAACAATCCAAAATGTGCACTCATTCACTCACCAAAAAGGGAGGGCTCTCAATCTCAAGAAGTTACCTTAAGTGGCGTCCCAACTGAAGGGGAGAGTCCCCGACTGCAGACCCACTGCTCCGAGGAGGACCGACTCCAATGAATCCTCTGACGGGGCCCCATTTATACCCTGGTCGAATCTGATCTGTGGTCAGTACATGGTCGTGTCAGCCCCTATTGGCTGAGGACCCCAACTTTCCCGCCTTTGACCCCCACTGTGTGGACCAGACATGAGCTGTGAGGGGGGAGGCAGTCCTGGTGCTGCCAGGGCCAGAAACTTTAGCACGGCTTTTGTTGGGTCTTTCTCAGGTCTTTAGTGGGGTGCCTGCATCTGCCACACAGGGTGACTACAGTGCTGGCCAGTGGACAGGACATAATGAACTCTAGGGTAGCAAGACAACCATAATGGAGGGGAGTAGAAGATTTCAGGGTGCTGGGGACCTTGAGGGTTTTCCTTGAGGGCCTCAGGATCAGTTGAATTTTCCTCTTGCAATGAAATACCGTATTTTGTAAACAAAAAGAGATTTTTAGACCACTAGAAGCTCGTGGTCTTTGCCTGTAAATACAAATATGAATTTATAAAGCACTCATCAACTTTTTAAATTGCCCAAAGTACATTGCTGAAAATTCTAGGGGTTTTTTTTATTTTTTTGGATGCTACTCAGTGAGGATGATGATGATGTTAGCTACAGAAGAAACACCTGAAAATTGGAGTGTAGATGGGTTGAATAGAGGCTGAGAATGATTTGGGAAGACGTAAATGGCTGATCCTGCTACTAATTGAAGAGTGCAACCCATGTGCAAGTCAGTGTGATACCTCAGAAAACCTGAAGAAAACTTTCAGAGTGACTTTACTGAAAGTTTATCTTATAGAGGGTTTATGCGAATGAAGTTACTTCCTCTTCCCCTGCTGCTCTTTCGATTAGGTGTTTGTCTCTGAAAGGGCTGTTGTGGCTGCTGTCCGTCTAGCCAGCATAGATATGTTAAAGGGAAGACTTGAATTAGCTTGCTAAGCATCATTTAGCAGTCAGCTTCATAACAAGATAGTGGGGGGAGGGTAATTTACTTTAGTTCTTTTTCCTGCAGCCATTCATGTTCTATTAAGTCTTTTTCAGCTATATTTGATTTTTATACTTGTGTTGAAAAGAACTCGGAAATTTTTCCCATAATGGGTGTTTACAGTTTCTTGTGATAGTATTAGCTGCTGTTTCTTATGTGAATACCTGCTGTAGCATATCTACCGAGACATCACTGATCTGGACAGTTTCTGAACTCAGAGCTTTTCAATGTTTTAAAAATTAGTTAATTCACATATCTGTGAGTCAGTATCATTTTTAATGCTGTGTTTCGCGTTTTTACTATTCTTGTTACTGATATTATTAACATTGTACATTAGGATGTCAGAGCAAATTCTGATCTGTTTACTTGCACAATGTGAAATTGTTTCTTGTAACCCTCTCAGTAGGATTATTCGGGAAGAAAAACGATCTGCTGTGAATAGGGAGCATGGGGTGTGTTCATCAATTAAAGACTGTTTTACTAGTGATTTCTGAGAAATTAAAATAGGCACATTTTTGCCATACCCTGTACTGAAGGAGATGGATACAGTATAAGCACCAGCTCTTGTATCTGCATGTTTAGAGGAACTGTTCTCTTGTCTCCACTGAAACTTCTCTATCAAGAGTACTAGTGAGACCGTATTTTAAGAAATAAGTTCTGGCTTAAAATGTAAGAAGAGGTGTTTGAGGAATATTGAAGATAAAATTAGAAAAATAAGTGTCTCTGAATACGAAATTCCTTTGTATTTGTGATTACTGTAATATAATGCATTCTTACAAACATAGAGTAATGTACTGTATTTTATTATAGTATAATGTATTGTAATACAATCTTATAAAATTAAATTTTCTATATTCTATAATTTATAAACATGTACTGTACTATACATTATATTGCATGCTAATCATTATGTAAGTGTAATCTTATTATAGACTATATATATATTTGTATTTTTTTTACAATGTGGTATAGTATTTACAATTGTTTTTGTTTTCTCTTTGCAGGAAGTTCAAGAAAAAGCATCTGTTTTTAATATGCAGTTGGACTTAACTGGGGCAATTCCCAGCCTTATAGTTGCCTTTGTCATTGTAGCTAATGGAGATCGCCAGGGACGCAAAAAGTCTTTAGTTTTACCATCAATGGGAGCTTTGATGGCTGGTATTTGCCTCACTGTAATATCATATTTTTCTTTGTCACTCTCTGTCCTGTTTGCGGTTGCATTTGTTACTGGACTGTTTGGGAGTGTGGCAACATTCCTTGGAGGAGGCTTTGCTTTTATAGCAGATATATGTCATGATGAGAAGCAGAAGACAATGCGAATAGCTGTGGTGGATTTGATTTTTGGAGTTGTATCTGGATTGGCAGGACTGTCATCTGGCTACTTTCTAAGAGGAATAGGCTTTACATGGACATTTGTGACAGTATCTTTGCTTCATGTCATTAATGTTATCTATATTCTATTTTTTCTCGAAGATACAGTAGGCGCATCTGAATTCCAGCACCAGGCGCCAGTATCTTTTAAAGAACTTCTGAGAGAGACGTTTTCTGGAGTGTACATGCTTTTTAAAACTGCCCCTTATAAAAAGAGACTCTTAATCATTCTGTTACTTTTTACATTTATGACTTATTTGTTTACTATGGTTGGTGGGAGTTCACTTTTTACACTGTATGAACTGGATGAGCCGCTCTGCTGGAATGAAGTGTACATTGGATATGGAGCAGCTGCATTCACTTCTGTCTCTCTGACCAGTTTTTTAGGAGTTTATTTATTTTCTAAATGTCTCAAAGACATTTATATTGTCTTTATCGGCATATTTTCTTACGTTGGAGGCATGATCATGGCTGCCTTTGCCAAAACTACCCTGCTCATGTTTTTAGGTGAGTACAGAATCAGTTGTTCCATGATCAACAATGTATAAGAAAATACTACCATGTTGTCCTTAGTGAGTGCTCTTGGTAGATATTTGATGTACGATCTTGAAAGGGTCATAGAGAGGTAAAATACATAAAGTTGGGTCAGACTGGTTTAGGATTTAATTAAAAGATGAAGTGTTTGGAGAGAGAATAGAATTACTTGCTTATGATTTGGTTTTAGTGCCATGCAGCTATATTTCATTTATTAATTTCTCCATGCTTGGATAATTGTGTCTCAGTGCACTTCTAGTTTGACTTTTCTATTGCCTTTTTGCTGTTTGGGGAACTGAGCATTCAAAAGCACGTGACTAATCCATTTGCAATGTATTTGTAAAATCTTGGATTTTTATCACTTCAATGTCTCATGACTGATGGATTGCTTTACAGTAAGAGTGCCATCTTTGCTCTTCATTATGCCTATTCCTGTTCTCCGCTCCATGCTGTCAAAAGTGGTTCTCACTAGTGAACAGGGTGAGTAGAATTTGGTTTTAAACGATACAATAATACATTATTTCAGAACACAGATGCACCGAGATTACCTTAAAACAAACAGATAAGTATTGGTATTTTAAGTCTGCTTTTCTTTCAGGTTCCATATAGTGTCACCCTGTGTCATGATATTAACAGCTTTTGATTCTGAACTTAATATAAACAACATTGTGTTTTAAAACTACTGCAAGTTTCAAACTTCAGAGGAGATACTGCTCTAGAAATAAAGACCATGGGGAACTTAAAGCAGAGGAATGCTCAAGATTTATACAGATGTGATTTCGCAAGTGCTTCTACATTCACAAGATTCTGACATGCAGAGAATAGTATATTTCTGTTAATAATTTAGAAAGGTAAGCAATAGGTGGTCAACCTTCAAAGCACTTGGAAACAGTTGGAGTTGGATCCTGAGCTATGTGCCTGGCTCCATGGGTGCCTGTGCCTACTTAACTGTGTTCCAAAAGATACAGCATAAAACTTCTCAAAGTCCTTTTCTTATGGAACACAAGTAGAAGCATGTCAGCCCTCAAAATGAGGCTCTAGTATCCCATGTTTTGCTTTTGGGGAGCATTTATTTTCTAGAAGCATTCTCTTGAGTTGTTTGGTTTTATTTTTTTAAAAGATGTACCTTTATACACTAAAACAAAGGTGTCTTTGTACTTAATTGTGCTAACATACACTGTTTAAGCAGTTTATTGGCATTCTTCGGGGCTTTGGCTACTTGAGTAGTTTGATGCAGGAATCAGGTTGCATCTTGTAAACTTTTTCTGCTTACCTGTTGTGATTTTGTTTATGGTCCTGTGAATGTGAATGTGGCTTGGGAAAATGTGTCCAATAAGACACTTGATGGGATGGGCTGCCACCCTAATGGGTAGTTCAGTGCAAAAAAAGGTTGCTCCTTTCCTTTCAGAAATGAGAAGGAGATGGTTATGTGCTGAACAAGTAGTCTTCGTTGGATCAGAGCCTTTTTTCTGCATATAAGGGTGAAGATTAGAGAAGGAGGAAAAATGAAAGGGAAGAGTGAGAACCAAGAGGAGAATGGGAAGGACTAAATGGGAAGGATAGAGATGTGCAGAACATGGTTAGTGAGGATGAACAGTTTGAACTTCATGTGATAAGCAGATTCAAGCAAGTAGGTATGGTAATAGAATAGTAGCACAGAAAAATAGTTTCCATGAGCAAAATGTTGTGGGGTTTTTTTCTCATTCAAAAACCAAGTCTTTTGTAGGAATCCCCACAGAGGACACTTTCATAGCAAAGACAAAGGACACTCTTGGTGCTTATTAGTTGCATACTTGCTAAAATACTGTTGATCTTTCAAAACAAGTTTAAAACCTTCAGTACCTTGAAGGAGTTCAGGTTTTATTTTATTCTGTTTGTAATCCATACATTTGTTTTTGGCAGGTGCTGTGTTTGCTTGTGTTGCCTGTTTAGAAGTTGTGACCGGCACTATTTCACTTTCGGTTTTTAATATTCTCTATGCAGCTACTGTTGCATGGTTCTCAGGCTTTTGCTTCCTCTTATCGGCAGGCCTGTGTCTGATTCCACTGGCTGTTCTGTGGTAAGTACAGATTGGGAGGGTACTTCTGACCACTTTTACTGGTAATTTCTGTTTTGATATGAGTTGAAGCTGAATGGTTTAGTGGTTCTAAAACTTTGGTATTTTCTAATGTGCTGAGCTTATTTCATGTGTAGCCTTCCCTCCAGCTTCCACACAGTTCAGGAACTGCTTATGTCTGGCAAGTCTATGGAAGGTACAAGGGGATGCTAGGAGTGGGGCAGAGCTGAAATGGGGGGATATGGCAGTGTCTTCCCCAGGGGGGCTGGATAGGAGAGAGGGAGCCCAGACTATGGCAGGGAGCTTTCTCTCACTGAGGCTTGTGAGCAGTCTCTGAGAGGAGTGGCTCTGCAGCTGCCCGTAGCTGTAGTTTCCTGTTTGTTCCTCTCTTCAGCACTTAGTCCCCTACACCTTGCTGGAGTTTTTCCATCATCGGCCCTGTCTGGCCCTGATCCAGCTACTGCCCCTCAGCTCTGTGCTATGAACTTGTTACCTGTTTCCCCCAGACTGAAATCTACCTTGAATATACTACTAGTGGGATACACCATACCCTTGACTGCACCTATGTGCCTTCCCTTGGCTTGAGACCTTTACATGGCCTTTCTTACAGGAAAGTTTTTTTCACAAAGAACAAACGTAACAGATTACTTGAAAGGCATGAGCTTATTTTTGCAGTCTGATCTCTTGTAGATGCTAATGAGAGTTATAAACATGACTAATTACCCAGTTAATTTAATGGAAAGCTATCTGTCCTGGTCCTTGGTCATAGGTACCTTGTAGCCCAGTGCCATTAAAATCTGTCAAAGATCTGCAGTAACTTTAAGGCACATAAATATAAACCTCTAGACATGTTTAAACAATATGCCTCTGTAGTATTTGCGTCTAATCACATCTAGTAACCATCTAGTAATACTGACAGTGAAATGTCATTATTCATGAGTATTCACAAAATTGAAGTTCACTTTATGTTATTTCCAATATAAATTATGTCTTTTTAGGATGCTGGAATATAGATCTAAATGGCAGAAGGATCACTTTTCATTAGATAGATTTGTATTCAGGGGAGAAAAAAACATTTTTCTTAAGAGGGTGGTACTCTTGCTGGAGACTTGTATCATTTTTCCTAATGCTTAGACTTCATCTCAGTCACCTTTTATCTCTACATCAGCTGCATTTTAAGTTTTAAATAGGCAGTGATAACGCTATAGATATAGAACATTTCACATAATTTCAAGTCTGTGCCTGCTTGACTACAGTGTTTTACACAGTCTGTTCAGAGAAGCTGCACTGATGGTAATCGAAGACTAAGGTAGTGATAGGTTTCAGACCTGGTGGAACTAAAGCAAAGGGGTCTTGTATGTGTATGGAGAATACTTTTCAGTAAAGTAGTAAAAAAATGAGGAATTCAGTTATATTAAAGGCCCAGTAAATACTTTAGTTCAGTGCTGTATGGTAGAGAAAGTTTCTGTTAAGGAAGCACTCTCTTCTGTGCAAAGGTAACAGATATTTACCATCAATTAGTCCATTGTCACCATAATGTTTTGGAAGTTATTTTTCTTTTCCTTCTGTCATTAGTTTCTCAGATATCCCAGCCTTTGAATAACCTTTCTCTAAAACCTTTCTTTTGAGAGTGTCATGCAATGTTACTGTTTTAAAAGCGGAAAGGGCAGTAGTAGGCATAATAGTTTAGTACTTGCCAAAGACAGTAATGATATTGTCTAACTTGTGTAATAAGGAAAAGTACTGTCATTTCTTTTGTTTAATAGGATATGTCAACAGCGTTGTGCCACAGAAGATGGCTGTAACAGAGCTATCCAGTGTGTTTGTTAGTGCTGAATCAGGATGCTATATTTAGAACTATCTATATCTCAGCTGAAGATGTCTGTCTTGTCTGTGTCTTACAGCTGGCTTCTGTGTACAAGCTGGAATGGAGAGGACTTGGCTATGCTTGTACCTGAAGAAGTATCCAGCATAGAGAGCCTTGAGAGTTGAACAAAGGATTCATCTGCCTGGGTTTTCTAATCTGACCTGCAGTGGCAGAGACCATTATGTCACACAGACACCGCAGAGATAATACAACACTTGCTGATGCAATCTCGAAGTGGCCCTGCACCAATAAGCACTAAATTGGTAGCACTTTTTTATCCAGTGTGGTGGGTTGACCTTGGCTGGACTCCAGGTGCCCACCAAGCCGCTCTATCACTCCCCTCCTCAGCAGGACAGCGGTGGGGAGAAAATAAGATGGAAAAAACCTGAGTTTTTTGTGAGCAAAAGCAAAGGCCGTGTGCAGAAGCAAAGGAAAACAAAAGATTTATTTTCTACTTCCCATCAGCAGGCGATGGGCAGCCACTTCCCAGGAATTAGGGCTTCAGTATGCATAGCATTTGCTCCAGAAGACAAATGTCATAACAACGATTGCCTTCCCTACCCCATCCTTTATCTTAGCTTTTATTGCTGAGCTGAGATCATATGGTATGGAATATCCCTTTGGTCAGTGTGGGTCAGCTGTCCCAGCTGTATCCCCTCCCAAGATGCTGCCTACCTCCCAGCCTACTAGCGAGGGGCAAAATGTTGGGGAGACAGCCTTGATGCACTCATGTGTTATCAACACCTTTCTAGCTACCAGTACAAAGCACAGCACTATGAGGGCTGCTATGGGGAAAATCAGCTTCATCTCAGCAAGGCCAAATACATCCAGTCTCTTTTAGCACTTGAATAGCTCTTAACTATGCAAATAGGCTGGCAGTGGAGATTATAACGCTGCTTTCAGCATGAATTAAAAATCAGGTAGGATGATACTCTCCACTTCCCCTTTCTCAAGTTTGAGAATGTTAGCTGTGGGTTGTGATACATCTTGTGTCATTTTAAGTGGGGCAACAGAGAGGGTATCAACTCAGAAGGTGCTGGCAATTCTGATGAAGCCAGGAGAGGTCATGCCAGCTGAGGATGTGGTCCACTGAGTACATCTTAAAAGGCGTGTCTTAATGGTGAATCCCCCAAACCTGTCTAATATTACTAAACTAAGAGGTACTTTTTTTTCAGAAAGCAACCAAACTGGAGGCAGTACTTGCACCTGCCTGCTGTGAGTAGACGTACTGCTCTGCAGTTAGCAGAGAGTGTGCAAGTTTAATGTATGTGTGGACCTTGCCTGTGGCTTAGTTCTTAAAATGGATTTTCACACAGACTGTCATACTTAGAAAATTTCCAGCTTGCAGAGTGTGAAGTCAGGCCTATGCCTACATTTTGCAGAGGCCATACTGCACATTTATTTTTATCATTTTCCTTGTATTAGGGACTGCATACAGACACCTCAATTTTTTGTCCCATGGATATTTTTTGTTTTCTAGTTAAATTTGCTGTACTTGGCTTAAACGTTTCTTTTAGTGAAAGGTTGTAGTAGTGTTTCTTTTCAGTGGCTCTTGGATTATTTTTTAATAACCCTGAAATGAGATGACCCAATCTGAATCATGCATCTAATCATCTTGCAATGAATGCAGCATAATTTTTGAGCACTTGAAGAGCATTTCTCATTTTCAAAGCACTTTACAGATGCTATTACAAACCTCTTTCCATAATAGATATTCTTCTCCCTGTTGCAGAGAGAAATGAACAGAGAGGCCAAGTGATTTGCCCAGGGCCACAGTGCAAACTGGTGACACTGCCAAACAGAAATCAGTTTCTTCATTGACTCTTCGCCTTCTCTTTAAGTATAAATTATCCAGAGTGTTCACTTCTGGAATGCACAGAACTGCAGAAGTGTAAATAGAACACCATGTTATGGATCACTCCCATGTGTTTATTTCAGAGAGAGCTGGGCAGCCAATACAGTACTGATCCCTGAAAGTACAGGTAGGTTGTATGTGACTCTTCCCCCAAAATCGATGAGGTAGAGAAATTAAAATAATGTGAAGTGGTTGACATTCACAGAAGGAAAACTCCAAGAAAGCAACTGTGATGTGGGAACTGACTTCACATGCGCACAGCATAGGATAAAAATGAAGATGGACGCAGCACGTGCTGTATAATGATCTGCTTACAGCCATTTAATGCCCATCATAGCAACAGAGTACTCCTGCAGAACCTCTCAGTGGTACTCCACCAAACAATGTATGCACTGCATCACAATGATACTACTGTAGATCCTTTTTGTTTGAACAGCAGCATTGTTTCCAAGCTATATATTGTGATCACAGGAGAAGTTTGGAAGAGGGCTCAAATAAGGTAAAGGAGAGTTTACACGATTCAGGAGACCACTGGCGAAAGCTCTGCCATTTATCCAGGAGAGGGAGAATGAAAGTCAGTTATAGCCAGCTCTTCATTTTGTCCTGAACTGCCAAGGCTGATGTTGGCAATTAAAGATCGTTAGCTTTCCCTAGCTGGTTTAGACACCAGCCAGTAAATAAAACCGCTTAACTCTCCTCGAGGTGCGCCCGTTGCTGCCAGCTTGTTGGAGAAGCGAGCTGAGTTTTACAGTAATCACCAGGTCCAAAACATAATGAGTCTTTGTAGATATATTAAGGCAACACTGATGTAGAGGATTTCAGCACAAAGATGACATTGTCTCCCTTGCCTCTTCATTATGCAGTTACGTAAGACTATGAAATTAACTATTTCACACAAAACTGCCTGGAAAGAGTAAAGCAAATGAAGTGGTGTGTGCCTCCATTGCCTCTTCTTCATGCATCCCTCTGCTAGCATTTGGAAGGTAGCAGCAAAGCCAACCAGTTGCACACTGGCGTTGTGTTGGCCCAAATGAGGACATGCACATACACTTCAGGAACGGCTTTGTTATGGTTTGATTTTGCTGTATGCAAAATTATTTCTGGTTCACACTGCATTTAGAACTAAGTAAGTTTAGGTCAAAACACATGAAAAATGAACTGTGGTTTTTAAAGTGCCTAGCATGGCGCAAGTTTAGGAAACCAGGTACTAATGTGCTTCGGATTATTAAATCAAAATCATCTAAGTGTAGAGTTGCTCTGTTTGTATATAAATGCAAATTATTTTGACAGACAATAATGATGAAATTTTTTTTTTTTAAACTCTGTGTTGTATTTGTAGTTCTTGCATTGTTTTTTGACAAACAGCCAATGGGACAACTGGTGGAAGAATGTTTATGTAAACAAAAGCAGCAGCACTATGGTGTCATCTCTTTTTTGTAGTCATAACAAACAGCAGTGCCGGAAGATCTGCTTTTGCCTCCTCCCTGCACTTAGGGAGAGGAAAGGATGCTCCCCAGAATATCAGCACCAAGAGAATATCAGGCACAGCACTCGCTGCAGTCTGCAAGAAGCCAGTACGGGGGCTCATGTTGTACTTGTCACACCAGGGGACCTGCAAGTACCTTCCTCCCCTTGCCCAGGCTTGGTCTGATGCGAGACCAAGGCAGGCCCTGCCCCAGCCACACTTGCCGGCATGCCTGGCTTGGCACCTGCCTTACAGACTGGGAAAAGGGGCTGGGCCAGGAATACTAGCCCCCAGCTTATCCCACGGCAACACCGAGCAAATGCAACCCCTTTCATCTCAAAAGCTCTTTGCCCCAGTCCTGTTTGACTCTATTAAAAAGCATATTCTTGCACATGCTTCTTACATGTACCATTTGCTTTCCAGCCTGGCTAACCCCTAAAATTAACTTCCTTGCTCTGAATATGGCTTGATTTCACTCAAGATTATGATCAAGTATACTAATAGTTGAACAAAACCACCTAGAAATTACATTTAGCCTCCTAATTAATGTCCGCTCTTTGCTGCGCTAATGAGAAACTTTACAAAATTAATGTAATGTCTTAATGTAGCTTTACTCAGACACAATAGCATCCATCTTTCAACCAACCCCAGGAAAGGCCAACTAGCTAGACTAAAGAGACTGTTTCAGCTGGAAGGGACCTGCAATGATCATCTAGTCCAACTGCTTGACCACTTCAGGGCTGACCAAAATTTAAAGCATGTTATTAAGGACATTGTCCAAATGCCTCTTAAAACACCGACAGGCTTTGGGCATCAGCCACCTCTCTAGGAAGCCTGTTCCAGCGTTTGGGATTGTGAAAAGAGGTTTATAGCAACGTTTCTGCTAAAATTATCTACAACAGAACATTAAGTGCACTTAGTAGTTTAACCAACTCATTAAAAACTGCTGAATGAACACAGTTCCTGTCCTAGAAATTCTGTTTCAAGCTTCCCACAAATTACAAGAGATGACTTATTTTGAATCACAGAATTTTTTTCTTTTTTTGCTTGCAAATAAGCCACATCATACTAGCTGCTTTGCAGAATTTATATGACACACACATGTATGACATAACCGTAGCTACAACCCTGAATTTAAGAACACTCCCCCACTTAAGCATGCAAAACAACTTTCAGTGGCCTGCTCCTTAAAAGGTGAGCTTAACCATACGTGTCTCATTCTCCCTTAATTAAGATCTTATTTTGATAAACTCACCAAAAAAAATACTTCTGTATTTGTCATCTAGTACCACTGCATCTTCATGTTCACACTGCAGCAGCTTCACAAGGTACTGTCATAATGAAGAAGTATTCTTTCTTAATTCCTGCATACTGAAAGAGCAGTGCTCTTTTGGATTATATTCCCAAATTAATTTAAAAACATTTCTTTAGTGTTTTAAGTGGAAGGCGCTTCTACTTTCAGAAACTAGAAGACCTAAGGGACACAGATGAAAAAATACAGATCTTTAAATCCCTTCTTACAGCAATACTTCCAATTCTATACAAAAGCTTAATGGCTCAGTCATGAACAATGGTCAGCAAGGGGGAGAAAATGCATGCAGCAGGATTTATTGGCAGTGGAGAAGTTAAAGATCTCTGAATATATTGTGAGAAAAAGGAACAACACTGTGTTGTGGATAAGAGATTTCTATTTACAATTAAATATATTTTGGAACGCAACAGCATTTATAGCAAACTTTTATTCAATAGTTTAAAAAGTGTATGGAAGTTTTCATGAACAAAGAGTTGCTTAGTGGAAAAGACCTTCTTTTCCGCCTTAAAAAGTTCTTCTGCAAGAACATCCATTAAATGTATTAACCTACAGTAATCAGTTTTAAAATGCACAGGTATTTTTGGATTTCTTGTATACATATATAGTATTTCCATGGTTAAGAAGCTATTGTCCTGAGCAGTGTACGGAGAGACATTATTTAAGCTATCTAGTTACAGGACATTTATATAATTGACAACAAGCACAGAACAGTTCGTAGACTTTAAACATTTAATGTGCCTTTTCATCAAGAAAGGCAAATGTTAACTGTAGGACTGCTTAACACTGAGTGCCAATTTAGTATCGTGTATTTAGATCTGCAGTATAAAGACACACACAAAACATTTTTGTGCAGTACATTTTGTTACAATAAACCAAGCTTGTGTTCCATCATCATGTGCGGTTCTCCCATAACCTCACTCTGTGAAGGATCTGGAAGAAAAAAGTTGACAGCATGAGGCATCTACCAAGCTACAAAGACCAACAATAACTATGAAGATGACCGTATGTGTGTGTGTGTTTTTTCATAAAGACACACACCCACCCATTTCAAGTAAAACCAACCAGTTCACAGAATCATAGAATACCAGGTTCTATGTAAGCAGTTTCCAATAGCCTGAATCTCAAGTCTGATCAAATTTTGTGTTTAAGAAAACTCAAGTCTTACTGAGGCTTTTACTCATAGATGCCCTACATCTCTTTCCAATGCAAGTGCTTTGTGTAATAGGAGATCACACTCCAGCCCTTCTGTTAGCTGGGACATACCATGGTTTCTCTTCTCCACCCAACCCTCTATTTTCACAGAAATTCTGTGCCCTTAAATACCTCTGAGATTTCCTGCATTCTGTAAAGTACAGTTGACACTAACCACTATACTCAAAGTTATCAAGGAATGTGCAGAGGACACAAGAGATACCAATACTGACAGCATGAGCTTCATTTCCATACAAAAAATTAAAAAGTCAGAAAAAAGGTTGTGACTGCATTTTGAAAGAAAAATACCTTTGAGTGTATCAGAATGTTTTCCTTCCATAAACACCACATATTAATACACTTGATTCCGCCAGAGACTACAAACTACCAAAACCACTTCTAACTAACCCAAAACTCTAAAAATGTAACAGCTTGTTGTAAATAACCAAATTACTATAAATTATGCTTGACCTTGCTCTACTCCCTTGAACCACAATAACCTGTGGTTCCTTCTCTTGCTCCCTGTAAATCCATCCCAGAAAAATAAGAGAATTGTTTAGTTGGAAAAGATCTTTACGATCATCAACTCCAACCATAACCAAACTCTACCAAATCTTCAGCTAATCATGTCCCTTAGTACAACATCAATGCATCTTTTGAACACCTCCAGCCATGGTGATGCAACCACCTCTCTGTTAAGCCTGTTCCAGTATTTTATCACCCTCTCAGTGAAATAGTTTTTTCTAATCTCCAACCTAGACCTCCCCTGGTGCAACTTCAGTCCATTTCCTCTTGTCTTATCACCTGTCACTAAGGAGAAGGGACCCACACCCACCTCACTACAACCTCCTTTCAGCTAGCTGTAGAGGGCAACAAGGTCTCTCCTCAGTCTCCTTTGCTCTAGGCTGAACAATCCCAGTTCCCTGAGATGCTCCTCGCAAGTCCTATGCTCCAGACTCTTCACCAGCTTTGTTGCCCTTCTCTGGACCCACTCCAGCACTTCAGTGTCTTTCCTGTAGAGAGGATAATTCCAGATCTACTTCATGCCGCTAGACTCCCACTTACCCCTCCATTATTTGTAGTTTCCCATCTCCCTGGCTTTTTACATTCTCCAATCCCACCTCAAAATACCCTCTGTCTCCCCTTCCACATCCTTAACTACCAGCTGGAAAGAAATAACTTTAAACTATTTTTCCAGGTGTATTCTATTCCACACATAAGGACTGTCAGTCAGCCCACCACTCAATCGTAAACTATCAAGTTAATTTGAGGGAGCTTTCCCCCTGCCACATCTCTGGTTCATTAGTGCAGTATCTCTTCTCTAGCCTTTCTTTCTTTTTAATTATAAAACTTATAAAAACTTTGTATCTTTGCCACTTCCACCTCTAAAAGTCTGCACAAGTTGTTCAAAAGTTTCTGGGGAAACACACAACATAAGTGTATAATCTTCTCCTTTAGAAACCCAGCCTACAACCAAATACTGGCTTACTCAGTATTTCAGAGTAATTTCCACACAACTAGCAGCTAAACCTAAACCACACTTACTTTTCCTTTCCCTAGTGCTTCTTTGCCTTTAGAAATGAAATTTTTTCTTTGTAGTTTGTGTGTTTAATTCTCTTATTCTGTAGGGACAAAGAACCAAGTTCTCAAGTTTCACCTTTAAATGTTTCCATAACATTCAAAACAGAATGTATTTACCATTAAGGATATCCTCAAAACTGATGCATTCATCATTTCCCCTCAGAGTATCCAGTGCTATGTTTGAACTGTGAAGAAATGGGTGACGCTGGGCCTGCACAAAGACAAGAAGAGTTCAAGTTTCTGCAAGGCTAAAATGGAGGGAATCTATATTTGGATTTCTCACTCTGAATTGACTGAGAAAAGTTACAAGCAAAAATATTTCTTCCTTCAAAAACAGCAATGAAATAAGAGAACTACTGGCACACATAAATAGCAAAACCTACCTAACACCACCATCTTCTACTGTTTATTGTTCTGTTTTGAAAAGAACAGCCTTTTACTACATTTGTAACTTTCACTGCAGTGTAGCTACTACAGCAAATAGTGTAGCTAAAGAAAAAAAGTAGGAGTATTTTTTCCTCCTTTGTTATCACATAAAGCTAGGTACGCTCACTGCAACAAACGCATTGACACCCTTAAGTCAATACTGGGTGACTGACATGTAATGCAGTGTTTGGAAACCAGATTCTAAGTTTCCTACACCTCTGACAAGTCATGACTGTAAGTGAAGGAGCTATATTCATTTTTCACATCTAAACATAATCCCTCTTGCAATTAATCTAAATCATAATTATTTCTCCGATCTCCACCAATTCTTTAGCGTCAAGTCCACTCCCAGTTACTTTCAACACACTCATCTGTACCCTTCACCCACAGTATTACAAAAAAGAAAAAAATTCAAGTAGTACACACACACCATTCAGGTTCTAAGTATTTTGAGAATGGCATATCTGTACTTACAGTTGCATTCATTACTAGTAGTGATACTTCAGTTATACCATGAACATACTTTACAACCATAAAACCATCATGTAGCTATCTCTTCACACAAAATATGACAAAGATTTCCATAATCACTACTTGTACAACTGTCAGAAGTTTAAATACACTACTCCAGTAAATATTTCAGAAAATTTAAATTAAACCACAAGAGAACTTGTAGATCTAACATGAAGCCGGGAGTGAAAAGCCTTCTAATCACCACATTTCCCTCACCCACCCCCAAGGATACACTAGCAGGACAACCTCACCTGCATCATTTTCTGCCATGTGCTAACATCAGTTAGGAAAGAGATTTTTCTCAGCACAGCTGAGATCAAGGAATGTTTTCATACATCCTGACTTTCATATCTTCAGGACAAGTAATTTCTGCCAAGTTTAATGCAGCTCATGGTGGTTTAGTAGCACCTGATCCACTAGGAGTATAAAACTGCTCCAGCTCACTTGAAAAAACAACTCTTACTAGCTTGACAACCTTCAACAATCCAAAAAAAGTTTACTAAGACCAATGAGCTTTCTGTTTTCTAAGAGACAAAGTCAGCCTCTCTTCAATTACTCTCCATCCTAGGAGATAAGGAGGAAAAGGAGACAGACTCAGCTTCCCAATTAAGAACTAAAACCTTTGAAATTAACTCCCTGTAGACCTCCCCTGATCTTACAAGAAAGGCAGTGGAACAGTAATAAGCACATAGCAAAGTCTCTGCCTCAGGTTTCACATTACCTCTACATTCACTCCCAAATCACTACCTGCTTCAGATCCCTAAGTCTCTTTGCCCTACAGATGCAGAGATTCCTTCCCATGAAGGTCATATGTTCTACAGAAGAGAAAATTCTTAAAATTAATACTCAATTCCTCATGCTTTTCTCTGAAGGCTTACAGGAAGTTAGTCCACAGAAAAGCTAGAGCAATTACCACTTCACCAAGTAACCAATGACAGAGCTGAAAGGCTTCAGCATAGTGACTGTTGTGGAAACTATTCACTGCAAAGTGTGGTTGGTTGGTTCTAATAAAAGCAGTCCAGTGAAAGAATTCATTCTAGAAACATAAGGTATTTCAACAGAGAAAGATGTCTCTCTCAAAGAATGTTCTGAGGTAATTTTTTTTCCAAGTGGTTTAAGTTATACCAGTTGAGTAAAAATGCCTACCTGTTTCACTGCTCTGAATTCCATCTGCAGTTTTAAAGGTGCATGGAGTCCTTGAATATTTCTCAGCGTGTCAAAGTTTGTTTTATCTTGATTTAACTGGAACTGTCACAAACAACATTGATTTTTATTTTTTAAAAGTTACTTTCAAGTACAGCCACAGAAGAGATTTGTGACATCCTACTTAAATAAACATGCTTATTAAATCTACATGTAAAAATGCAGCGATTTCATCGTAAGTCTCAAAAGTACTCAAAATAGTGATGCAGTAATATTTGTTTTATGAAACTAAAATTGCATGTTGCTGGATTTTATTACAAATCAATAGTAGCAATTTTGTTATTTTTGACAAACAGGATATTTACCACCACCAAGTGGTGTAGTTTTGCACTACTTTACTACAGTATTTTCAGGACAAATTTGAAGCAGTCTGGTTTAAAGTAAGAATACAAGCTTGAAAGCCACAATTTATGTTGTTGTTAGCCTCCAAAAGCCCTACTTGAAAACACTTGAAATACTCTTTTCTGACAAAGTATGAAGACAGTGCTCACATATACTCTCTCTGACTCTGAAAAGCAAAATAAAGCTCATAATTTTATTAACTGCTCTAAAACTGATCAGTAAGATAAAATCAACTTACTAGAGGTTCTTTTAATGAAAAAGTGCTGGCTCACAAATACTGAAGTACACAAAGTAACTTATGATTAGTGTTAAACTTAAGCTTGAGTAATCTAGTCTTAAATTTGGCTTTTATAATAGCAACTACATGCCTGTAATGTTGACACAATACAATATCGTAAAGTAAAACAAAGACTACAAGTCTCTTATTTTAAAATCTGTACTCAATCACCACAACAAAAGCTTACAAATATGAGAATATTATCCCATTTACATAAAGGAATATCAAAAACCAACAGGAAAATACAAGTCAAAGGCATAACATGCATTTTCTTCATAACAACCCATACTGAATAACAGAATCACAGAACGGTTTGGGTGGGAAGGGACCTTAAAGATCATCCAGTCCCTGCCATGAGCAGGGACATCTCCCACCAGACCAGGCTGCTCAAAGCCCTGTCAAGCCTGGCCTCGAACACTTCCAGGGAGGGGGCATCCACAACTTCCCTGGGCAACCTGTGCCAGTGACTCAGCACCCTCACAGTGAAGAATTTCTTCCTAATATCCAGTCTAAATCCCTCTTTCAGTTAAAAGCCATCCCCCCTTCTCCTACCTGCCCTTGTAAAAAGTCCCTCCCCAGCTTTCCTGTAGGACCCCTTCAGGTACTGGAAGGCCACAATAAAGTCTCCCTGCAGCCTTCTCTTCTACAGGCTGAAAAACCTCAACTCTCTCAGCCTGTCTTTGCAGGAGAGGTGTCCAGCCCTGTGATCATCTTTGTGGCCCTCTGGACTCACTCCAACACCTCCAAGTCCTTCTTTTGCTGGGGACTCCAGAATTGGATGCAGTACTGCAGGTGGGTCTTATGAGAAGAGATAAGAGGGGAGAATCATCCCTCTTGCCCTGCTGGCCACACTTCTTTTGAAAGTGGTCCATGAGTGATGACTAAGCCAGACAAGATTGCATACACTTAAAACAAACTGGATGTATGAAATTTCTCGATAGGATCAAGTAATTTAATGGAAAGTATTTGTGTGTTCACAGACTGAAAGTCTTAAATGAAGATATATGGTAAACCTATAGACAAAATAGGAGGATCAGCCTTCCAGAAGTAACAGCCTCCCATTTATCTGTAGAGGCTTCATACACAACTAGCTTAACTTTTAGATGACTAAACCTTACCAAATAAATCCTACTTGGAAGCCTGCTTACATACTTGAAGTGGAGAGAGTCACAAGTGGAAGGTTAATATTAAACAAATTTGACGACAATGTTATCTGTATAAATAAAATGTTAGTATTGTTGAACATCTTTATTCTGTGAAAGGCAAGACCCTGCTCATTACTTGTTACTGCACAAAGCAGTCCAGGTAACCACACTGTTAATTTAAGCTTCATAATTATTTAAGAGTGAAGATGGCTACATCTGAGGTTAGACTCACATTTTTTTCTGACAACTCCAGTGGGTGGCTGGGCAGCAATTCATTTTTCACACTTGCAAAGCTAGAAATACAAGTAAATGATTTAACCTCAAATTAATTGGGATATATTTTTTTAAGTCACATTCCAAAACTAATCTCAGATACAAACACCAACCCACAGAGAGACACTGTTTTTAGTTCAAACTGTGCTAATAAACACACAGCCAAAAAAAAAAAACTTAATAGGGAAGCACCAAGTAAGACTTCTAACTACAGCACTACTGGAGGAAAAATAATTTAAATTTCATACAAAGAAAAAAGGATGCCTGACACAACAGAACAACAGGTTTTCTTCTTTGATCCCCTTCAGAAATAGGAAAAAAATAATAAATGAAAACATCATAGATTTAATTTTGTCCAAGCTACATGGTATCTGATTTTAGAAGTCTTCAAGCTTTTGCAACTGAATATTGTACATATCTTCTCCCACCCATTGTATAACCCACATTTGAAACTCCATGAACTTATGTATGTAGTTCAGTACTCATGTAAAATAGCAAAACCCAAACCCACTATCTTTACTATATTAAGCTTAATTTTTGTACCAATGCTGAAATTACACACTTCCTACAGTGCTACAGCACCCTCACACACGTAATTAAAAATAGCACATATTTCATAATTATTAATACTTTGTCATCTCTTTTATAAAGAGCAGTATCATACAGCAGAAAACCATTAATGTTATCTACTTCATAAAGTGATGTTTCACAGAAAATTCACGCTTAAAAGGCAATCTGATTAAATAAGTGTGCTTTAGACTATAGCTTTTGCAATACGCCTTCCAAGAATCTTCTCTAAAAAAGCCACCATTTAACACATACTTTCTTCCTATATCTGAAGTTCAATGTTGGTTATGGCACAATTCAACATGAAAAATTAAAGCGTACCCTCTACGCAGAAGATCATGACCTTCAAATGGGCCTGAAGCTGAAAATTCAGTAATTGGAATACTATCCTTCAAGAGAGAAGAAGCTCCTCTGGAATTCTGGAACAGAAAAAAGTGAGGATTACTTTAACAGAAGCAGATCCCTTTTGTATTGGCCATTAAGCCAGACAAAGTAAACACAGTGCTCATAGACTCCTTAAACTACTAATGTACAAACTCTGGAGTCTCTTAAAACAATAAGCAAACAAAAACCACCCTCACACTAACTTAGAATTCTTTCAGACAGTCTGGTGACAGTTAAAGGTACTGATAACACATTATCGGGATATGACTGAAACAGTAAAGCTCGCAACTACCCCTCCCCATTCCCATCTTAGGCCATAGGGAGGGAAGGGCAGAAGGCAGGTCATGCTCAGCTGACAGAACATGTCTGAGCATTCCTTCATTTACTTCAATGTGGACACAATCAAGTAACATTAATTTGGTTTTTATCCATCGTTTAAGGCCACCATAAAAAGGCCAAGGCACATGTAAGCATTCTAGTGTACCAGGAAACTGAAAGAGCAAAGGAAAAACAGTAACTTGTAGCAGAAGACGAGAAAAACACACCTCCGAGCTTACTAAGTAAAGCCTTCTTAACCCAGACCACTAATTTCATGCTCAATTTTACTGAAGTAATTTCAAAACTGTTCATATAAATTGCTCCACCAATTGGCCAATAAACCCTGAAAGCGACAACAATCATTTCTGGAAGGTGACAATGATGAGCTGTTCAGAGCAGGAGTTTCCTCTGACAGCACCACTGGATCACAGAATCACAGAATATTAGGAGCTAGAAGGGACCTCGAAAGGTCACCCAGTCCAACACCCCTGCCAGAGCAGGATCACCTAGACCAGGTCACACAGGAAGGCATCCAGGCGGGTTTTGAATGTCTCCAGAAGAGACTCCACAACCTCTCCGGGCAGTCTGTCCCAGTGCTCTGTCACCCTCGCAGCGAAAAAGTTTTACCCTCATGTTCACATGGAACCTCCTATGCTCCAGCTTGCACCCACTGCCCCTTGTCCTATCACTGGACATCACTGACAAGAGTCTGGCTCCTTCCTCCTGACACTCGCCCTTTACATATTTATAAACAACAGAGAATACAACAGAGAATTCATGTTTACAGTTAAGATTGTTTGTATTAATGTGGTACCAGTCAATAACCTAAAAACTATTAGAAAACCCCAAAATATCTGTTATTACATGCATATAAAGCATCTTCCAACTAACGAACTCAGCACTGACCAGATCTTTCTGAGATTGCTGTAAGCGAAAGCATTAAAGCATCCCTACAACATGTGACAAGAAGGAAGATCAAAGTAAAAGCCAAACGTATGGAGAATTCCATGAAATACCCCCAGAAGTAACGCTCCCAAGCCACGCCAGCGCCCAGCCCGTCGCAGGTGGTCGCACCACTGCCATCCACCACAGCGGACCGAGGAACCACTCCCCGCTCCCAGAGGAGCTTTA